TATATATATATATATATAGAAAGAGAGAGCAAAATTTGCGCAGTACAAATGTAGATACAAATTCGTATAAAATTCTGTTAAAAAATTCTATTCAAAAAGTACTTAAATATTCCAAGTGAGAGTTGTAATGTAATCACCTAATTTCAGTTCCGTGTTATTTAGTTTTGTCCAATTTTTCTGGATTAGACGTTATCGCTCGTAATTACTTTGATTTTGAATCCCGCATCAACTTGCTAGTCTATCGTAAGCTGCAAAAAGTGCCATTCATCATCTGGCTGTTACAAATGGCGATGAAAAAGGAAGCCTAAGAGTAGAAATCGCTGAAGTCAGTTACCGAAACGAAGAGCAAACCGCGGCCGGTGATTTACGCTTTTAATCGAATCGCAATTACACGTGACGGGCGCAGTCTTCATCTTCTTGTACCTCTCTGTCGGCCCGCCTCTACCACGTTCGCGGAAGTTACCGCGAAGAGCTATGTTCGTTTCTGATGCTTTATCACGGGACGAAGCTAGATTTGATCGATGCCGGCTACCATTTTTTGCGCCCCTCTGCAGCCCGTCCGGCCGATTGTGTGCACGATCGTTCTCTTTCGCCATCCGATTCTTCGATTCGTGGACCGCGCCAGCGTGACTGTCGAAACGCGTACGATGGCTGCTTAATAAATCCAGCGGACACAAACGACGACTGCAATCTGTATTCGTGGAACGCGTAATTCGGTTTAACATACATACGTGCTCGCTACCTTTTGTCCATTTCTCTTTGTCTTCTGCTCGAGTAAATTTGGCAGTTCTTCCTTTGTTCTCGGCGTTGATAACAATGATTTAAAATCGGTGCATTATCACGAACCGTTGTTTGACTAGCACGATGATCAATGTACCGTGGAATCTTTCCAACGGGAACGTCGCGTTCTGTGATGTAGATCAGTTTTCCGAGGTAAGGTATTGGATTATTCATGCTCCACTAGCGACTGCAAACTCGAAGATCATCGTGCATTAGAAGCAATATTGGGAGTGGAAATTAGATGGACGTCAAGGAGCAAACGTCAGGCAGGCCGTGAGCTTCGTGATCGCTCGAACGTGAGATCAAAGCAAGTAAATCTGCAACTCGCTCTACGACTCTAGATGCTACGGATGTTTCTAACATTTTTCGTGTCTTTCCTGCTTCTTTCCCGATACTTTGGCCAAGCAGCTGGCCAAAATGATGGCTACGAATTTCCATCGGCTAAGAACTTTCGGGACTGATAGATGCGCAAGGTAAACGTTCGTCGTTCGCCAAGTATTTTAATTCGTCGTGGGATAGTTTGCCGGCATACCGGGCGCCCAGAATTCTTTTCCTTTGGCCGGATTCTCCGTGATTCGACACGATCCAGAATCCTCTCGCCGTTTGTTGTATTTTCCAATTAACGTGAGAACCCGTATACTTGTCCGACTTCGGCAAACGGAGGGATTGTTTGATGGAAAATCCACTGGACTGGCGCCCTCACCTCTTTTGCGGCCTTTGGAATCCCGTGCGTTTCACTTTCGTTTCCCCCCGTTCACCCCTTTCACGCCACCCTTCACATCTACACTCTCTCGCGTCTCGTGTTTTTTCCATGCGTTTCTTTTCCTTCTCTCCTCTCCCTCCCATCTCAAACGCGGTTACTGCTTTTTACACCTTGAACACTCGATAATGCAAACGATACGTTGCTTCCATTGGCAATTACCCGTTGTAACAAACTGAAAAATTCACATGCCCTCTGCTAATTTCCGAAGTAGCAAACTTTCTGTCCGGGAAGTTAAATCATTCTCCGATAGCAAATCGCGGGATTTGGTTTGTTTAACGGGAGCAAAGAAAGAAAGAGAAACGGCAAAGATTTACTATGATTTTCATGGTAAAAGAAGTGCTAGTTCGTCGAAACTCGATTCGTTAACTGGTAATTACGAGTGAGATATATATATATATATATATATCAGTACCGTTCCGATTAGATGGCGCAACGCGCGGTCCGATCGATCGAATCGCACGATTTAACATCGCATTACACGTTTTGTTTGACCGGGGTAACAAATTTAGCCGGTCAGAAACACGTTGCGCAAGCGAAGCGTTTCGCACCGAGGCGTTCCTTGCGCCGGCCCTATCGGTCGGCGACGATCCTCTTTGATAATAAGCGGCTATTTGCGCAGAAATTCATGGCTCCATCGGCAGCGAAAGGGCAAATCCTCGTTACGTATTCGCCGGGAATTTATTCGAGAGTCCGTGTAATTCTGAGATCAACAGGCGTGAATAATCGAGCGACACGAGGTCCGTAGAGAAGGAGGAGAGGAAGGACAGGAGAGACTTCTTTATCGAGAGATAGTTATCGCGCTCCACGGCGGTGGATTTTCCGCAAAAATTGAAACCACCGCTTCGTTAGAATCCGGTTAGGCGAGAATACAGAAATTTCTGCGTAAATTGGAAACGGTGGAAACCCAAGAACTCCCTGACCGGCAGAGAATTATTTTCTGTTTGATCTTCCGGTTGAAAAATGAATTTAATTCCTTCATTCTTTGTGATGTTACGCAAGGTCGTGAAAAAAAAACGACAAACTATGACAATTATTTCCATCAATTTGTTACTCTTATTTTAGACGTCACATCGGAGAACGTAACTTTACCTCGTGTCCGAATCAAACGAAACAAGTAATCTTTCAAATAATCTTTCATTTGAGTTAGTTCATTGAGGTGAACTGATTTATATTCACGCAATTTTATACATTTACGAGCACGGTTAAAGGAATCAAATCTAAACAGAAATTTGTTTTATCTACTAAATATCACGATGCATATATTCCACTTTACTAATTTTATATATTATTTCGCTTATACTTTCTGAAATTTGAAATTTTCATGCAAATGCAGAAAGATCCATAGTGCAAATATAAAATACTCCAAGCTAGAATAAGAAATTATTCTATTTGACGACAAAATATATCGAAAAACCACTTGCTTGTTCAAATAAATGAAAACAAAACTATTTCAAAACAATATCGAGTCGAATAAAATAAAATTATTCAAATATTTCTGAAATATCTTTTTCAGAAATGACGCCCCGGTCTACGTATAACGACTTTAACAAAAGTAAACGAAAACGAACGGAATTATCGCGGACGGTACTTAATGTTTTCTTCTAATCGCTATTCAAGGACGTTGACTATTTTACCATAAATTGCACACGATATCGCAAATCGCATTAAGGCGGAGTGGTTCGCGGTCTCGCTTCATGCTCAAATGGCCAAATTGGATTTCGTTCTTAAGCTCCGAATTTCGTTAAGAGCAACGCTGAAATTGCGAGACCGCTGCTTGCGCGAGCCGCGCCCGTAATAAACGAGGCCCGCGCGGATCCTTCTCCTCCCTCTTCAGCTTTTACGCCTGAAACAGGGTTAAAAACACTTCCACGGCCGGTATTATCAAATCTTAATATTCGGTGGCGCGTTCCCTCGGATTTTTGAATAAAATATCGCTTCGCGCCCGCTACGGTTCATACATTTTAAATCCCGCCGTTTTTCCATGAGAGCCGTCGCTCAGCAACGAGCTCTCGGACTGCGGGCACGTGAGAAACGCGGCCGAATTAAAGAAGTGGAGAATCCTGTCGCGCGACTTGAATCCCGGCGTCCTGGCCCGCCGTTCCTGCACAAGTTCATTTCGTTTTCCCCTGTTTCTCGCGGACACGGCCGGAAGTTTCCCGCTCCGGGAACGTAAGCAACGAACTTCTGGGATATGCATTACGTGTGATGGAGATCGTGCTCTCGGCTTTCGTCATTCTCGTTCATGGCGAATAATAGGAAAATCGATCGACTGTCGCAGACGTAGAAAATCATTTTCGGCGAGTACGCTCACACTTTACAGATGTAAGTGTAGGTACAAAGTGGAAGAAAATCCATGGAGAATTAAGTGTAGGAAGATATTACAACGTTCGTTTGATTGTTGTTTGTTTATACTACTGAATATTCAGAAGTTTCTGTGCAACGTGTTCAAACGTCTGATCAATATTTAGTTGTACTACTGATTCCATGCCTGTTATCTTAATCTCGTGTTTTTAATCTCATCGGCTAGGTGAGAATTTACGAAGTTATCAATGAACTAGCGAATCCGATTAAAGTTAAAAATAGTAATTTTGCGTTATGAGGTTTTAATAGAGAAGCATTTTTAATAGAGAATGATGAAAGGAATACGGAGTATTTTAATAAATAATATCCTATGTTTGCGATTCTATTAAGAACCAAATAGTTTTAGACTTTTATGCATTTTATGCATTCCTAAATTGTGATAAATATAGCTAAGAAAATGGAGCCTGTATGGAAGTTTGTTTTATATACTATATTACCAGAAAATATTTTGAATATATTACATATTACATATAACGTGTGTAGTAACGTACTTTCAAATTTCCTACGAATATGCGCAGTTTATTTATTATAGTTTCAAATTTATTGTAGTTTTAAATTTTATAAAACTGTAGAATCTAGATAATGGAGGAAATAATGATGAAGAAATATTAATCGCATCCTTGGAATTTTTTTATAATCCGAAAATTAAAATACAGAATTTTATCATACACAATTTTATCATACACAATTTTATCATACACAATTTTATCATGTATAAACAAATGAAACAGTACATTAATGCAACGTTAATGGATTAAGACGCCCTGGATATAATTCAGCTAACACGATATACAATTGTTGAAAACAATTTCTTCTCGCTATAATTATTCTTTCTGAAAAAGGATTATCTTAAAGCGAAATATATTTTTTCATACGTGCCTGTGCCATATGGCGCAAAACAATTTTCCTGTCCCTTTTAACTCGAGATTCATCGTTATCGATTGGCCCGATTATAAATAACACGAACGTCCATCATTCTTCTCTAAAGCGTTTCACCAAAGCTGTCACGATCTTCGGGTTGAACCTCGCGCCTTGTTTTATTCCGACCGATTTTGCGCGGATAAAGAACAAGCCTCGTGCGAGTCGTTCCTCGACGTGTCGCAGCCCGATGATTTATTACCACGAGGCTGTGCGAGCAATTGAATCGACAGTGCGTAGGTCAGGCGCTCGATCAATCTTCTTTCTCTTCTTGCGAGAATTGTTGGGTAAACTCATTTGTAGTTTCGCGACGTTCCGATGCGGCGATCGATAAACTACTGGCTGTTGGGAAGAAAGCACTTCGGAACGATGGCAACGGGAAGCAAAAACTGTAGCCTAATCGTTATCGGGAGAAGATAAAGGCGACGGTGTTCCTCGTGAATCGTGTTACACGACAAAATTCCATTTCAACAGCGAACAGTCTGTTCAAAGGGGCAGTTAATCCCAGTTGCGAGAAGTAAACCATTTTTCCCTTCTCCCTCTGCGGGATTATACTGTTTTTAGCAACCGGTGGTGGTTGCAAACTATGATTGCAGCAAATGCTTTTTAATAAATCAAGTGCCACGGGCACTTTCGCATTCTTGCACGCGGCTCTCGTTGGAAAAAATTAACGAGATTCGGAATTAGCTTTGCGTAATTAGTCGGATCACCGCGGAACCCATGGCGAAAACGAGAGCAGAAGCTAAGGTTCTGACAAGTTTCACGGACGAAACTCTATGGTTAAGGTGTTGAAGAATTTTGATCCTTGAACCGATTTCCGAATATTTCAAAAAATGCGAAGACCTGGGAGCAATGGTCGAACCGCGTTTGGTTTGCTGGATCTTTCCCCTTCATATTTCGATCGGTTGCAAACAAACATCGTCAGTAAGTCGTTCGAAAACTAGAGAGAATTCTGCAATATAAGAAACGTGTTTATTTGGCCGAAACATGTAGCAAGGGATCATCGATTAATTCTATTATTCTTAAGATGCGTACACATTCGTTAGCTTACTCGTGAGCTATACCTCACTCCAAAGGAATTATTCAACGCGTCATTTCTTCTAAAATCCGAGTCTTGATTGTCGTTCGTTCAATTGGAATTTGACGAACTAAATTTCTCTACATTCTCATAAATAAAAATCCCTCGATACAATTGATAATAATGTAATGCATTTATAGATCGTTTTCTTAACGTTCTTGTGAATTAACGTTAATGTGAAGAACCTTACAAGAAATATTATATGTATTCTCTGAATGTCCCCTGACTCAGGCTGAATACACACAAAATCACGTAATACGTAATCTCCAAACCGTCGAAGTCGACAGACAGTTCTCGGAAGCAAATTAAAATTCCGGC